AGGAAATAAACAACTATATGACTTTTAGAAGACATCTGAAGGCAGCCCTGTTTAGGGAAGTTTTCAATGTTTGAAGTTTTATTTTGTTTTTAGTGTTCTGTTGGGAGCCGCCCAGAGTGGCTGGAGAAACCCAGCCAGATGGGCGTGGTATAAATATTATTATTATTATTATTATTATTATTATTATTATTAGGATCGAACCTGCAACCTTGGCTTTATCAGCACCACCCTCTAACCCAGGCATAGGCAAACTCGGCCCTCCAGATGTTTTTGGCCTACAACTCCCATGATCCCTAGCTAGCAGGACCAGTGGTCAGGGATGATGGGAATTGTATTCTCAAAACATCTGCAGGGCTGAGGTTGAGGAAGCCTGAGTTAAATCATGTCACGACAGTTGATATTATTTACCCAACACCCTCCAAACTCACAGACTCCAAGAAATCAGCTACGGCACTTAGATTAATCAAGGTAATTATATTCATAGCAATCATTTGGATTCCACGAGCATCGCAGAGGATAAATCAAATTTCTTCCACAGAATATTTTATGCGACTGAATGCCTGGGGATTACTTCAGCCTCTTCATTCTGTTTGTCCTCCTCTTTGCATGAATTGGAATCGAAAGTCGCGTTGAGGAAGATTAACACTCCTCAAATGCGCACCAGGACTGCTGCGTCACTGGCTGTTTCCCCAGGGAAAATTCTGCTCTAGGCCAAGACGAGCCCAGCAATGGCTATTGCAAAGCATGGTGGTTTTGTTACTTGAGGCCGGCTGGCCTCTTGGACGAGTGAGATACTTGTCCACAGCTCTGAATCATTGCTTCTCTGTATCCTTTGCCATGCAAGATGAATGAATTAGGAAGAGAGTTCAAGGACACATCCCCAGCCAGACAAAAACACCCAAGAAGGGTGTGGATCTGGGCTGCTGACAGGAGCGAGCCAGCAGTAAATCACACCAAGCAAGTTGGAATTAACTCTTGATTAGCAAAAACAGGATCTGCATAGGAGTGCCAGGCCTAATGAGCAACTCAGCTCTGGCAGGTCTTGCCTCCATGAAGTACCATATTCTTCTGTGTATGTCTCCCCCATGTATAAGACACCCCCTATTTCTGGGGACTCAAATTTAGGAAAATGGGGGGAGATGGTTCAGAGTTGTTGAGTTTTTTGGGGGGCAGGATTGCACTGGGCTGTTGAACTTTTTTACTGGGGATTGCTGAAAATCGCTCACCCACACACGGCACAAAATCTGCCTCTCGTCTGTCCTCTCACCGGCAGAAGAAGCCAATCGGCCGCCCAATTCCCGCAGTGCCAGCCAACCAACAACAGCCCTTGACGCAGCAACCAATAACACGCCCAATCGCTGCTGACAGCCGCGGCAGCAACCAATCAAACTTCCACCCTATGCACTATCCATGTGTAAGACAACCCCCACTTTTTAGCATAATTTTTAAAGAATAAAACCTAATCTTATACAAGGAAAAGTACAGTAGATGCCAAGACTGAAGGTTCCTTGCTACCTACAGCTGCCTAGGTCCCCTCCTCTCTCCCACTTAGCTATGAAGCTCACTGGGTCAAACCTTGGGCCAGTCACTGTCTCTCAGACTAACCTACCTCACAGGGTTGTTGTGGGGACAAATTGAGGGGAGGGAGAACCATGCACAGTGGACGCTCGGGTTGCGAACGTGATCCGTGTGGGAGGCACGTTTACAACCCGCAGTGTAGGGATGATCGCGGAGTGGGGAGTGGGGTCCGGAGGGAACACACTCCCCACCCGCAGGCAGCCACAGTCTGCCTGCACACTTGACCTTGGGGTGCAGAGCACACTGCCCCTCACAGATAAGGCCACAGCTGTCTGAACATCTTGCCCTCTGTCTAACCTTTTGCGGTCTCAGTAGTCTGCGGTGCCCTGTCTGTAACCTTTGTCTCTGAGACCTTTTGTCTCCTTCGTCAAGGGGAAAACGACGCGGTGGAAACAGGTGCCAAAATAGCCTTGTACCACCCCACTATCTCGGGACCGGAAGATGTGTAAAGGTCACAGCCCAAAATGTCTCTGCCTGGTTTGCATATTGGTCTCAATAAAAGGAGGCTCCACAGGGCTGGCCGGCAGCTTGCTTGCAGCTCACCTGTGCGCAGCTCACCTGCATTATCAGCTCCTGCTTCAATGTCCATCACTTCACCGCAGCATTCGCAACCCACAGCGCCTCGTCTGTGCTCGCGCGGGTCACGATTCGGTGCTTCTGCGCATGCACAAAGCGCAATTTAGTGTTCCTGCACATGCGCGAGCACCGAAACCTGGAAGTAATCCGTTCCGGTACTTCCGGGTTCGGTGCGGTGTGCAACCCAAAAACACACAACCTGAAGCGTCTGTAACCCGAGGTATGACTGTATGCCACTTTGGGCCCCTTAGAGGCAAAAGTGGCATATAAATGCAATAAATACCGTATTTTTGGCTCTATAAGACTCACTTTTTCCCTCCCAAAAAGTAAGGGGAAATGTGTGTGCATCATATGGAGTGAATACAGGCTGCGCAGCTATCCCAGAAGCCAGAACAGCAAGAGGGATCGCTGCACAGCGATCCCTCTTGCTGTTCTGGCTTCTGAGATTCAGAATATTATTTTTTCTTGTTTTCCTCCTCCAAAACTAGGTGCGTCTTATGGTCTGGTGCGTCTTATAGAGCGAAAAATACGGTACATAACAAATAAATAAACTACCGCAAGCAAACAAAAGAGCAAACAAAAAACCCTGTGTCACCTGGGGTGGGTGGGTCCTGAAGGGATGGTGTCAGGGAACTGCCATCGGTGCCGGAGGGAGAGAGCAAAATCCAGAGGGATTCCGGAGAGCGTCCCGGGATTGGGAGAGGCAGCCCATCTTCTGGGGAAGAGAATCAGCGTAGCACCAGTGGAGAAGGGGGGCAGATGGGGAAGCGGCGAGGCGGTCCCATGACTCCTTGCCGGGGACCAGCGGGGAGAGTAGAGGTCCTCCGCTGCCTAAGCCCTCCTTGCGCAGAAGGCTTTCGCGCAGAGAGAGTAGGAGGAGACTAGGCGTCAAAGAGCTTCTTTGCTGGAAGAAGTTTAAGAAACGCCCACTGACGGATTCTGCCAGCGATTGAGACAGCCACGGGTGAGTGGCTGTCCAGACAGAAAAGGTTCACTCAGGCAACCCAGCCAGGTGTTTGCACCGGCTTACACACGAGCAACCCCTAGAACCACTACAGATGGCAAAGAGACCTGGACATCTCTGACCCTGTTTTCATTCATAAAAATCCAAGATCCATTGACATACAGACCTCCATTTTTGCTGTGAGTCAGATGTCCATTAAGCCTCACAATGAGATTTTCGGCTGCAACCTCTTCCACTTAGAGGTGGGGGAGGCGTGGAGCACAAACACATCTTCTTTATCCCTCCAACATGCCATTTGCGTCAATCAGCAATAACAAACGAAATTGCTGTTGGCCCCCTGGGCTTCTAAGTGAATGAACTGCGAGGGAGGTGGGCGTGGAAGGTTGTTTTAGTGCGCGGTGAAATCTTCTCTCTTTCAAAGATAGGCATCTCCTCTCCACTTAACAGTTTGTGCAGGTAACAGAGGTGCCAGAAAGAGGGGAGAGGGCAGGGTGACTTCATGTTGTCACAGGGCCAAAAAGAGGCAAAGAGCTGTGAAACCAGCTCAGGATCAGGGCCGGATTGAGGTTTGATGAGGCCCTAAGCTACTGAAGGTAATGGGGGCCCTTTATATGTCCAGCTGTCCTTTGTCAACAACAAATTGTCCCTGTTTTTTGTGTTGAATATATGCCCTATGGTAATTGATGGACCTAACAGGTATCTAAAGCCATTTGCACATAACAAAATATGTATTTTATCATACAGAAATGAGCAAACCAGTGATATTTGAGGGAGAAGACTAGCAGGTGGGGCCCATTACTTACATCATAGGAGCCTACACAACACAAAACACTGTTGTTGTATGTAGGTTTTTGTTTTTTAATCTTATATTTTGGAAATGTACATCCAGTTTTTTCCCTTTGATTTTTTTGGGGGGCCCCAAGAAAGTGGGGCCCTAAGCTATAGCTTATTTAGCTTATACGTAAATCTGGCACTGCTCAGGATACTGGCTTTGCTGTGCAGGAAAGAAAGATGCACAGGTTTTCCCAAACCTCCCTAGCAACCTAGGAAGCTGCGTTATACGCAGCCAATCCTTTGGCCTATTGAGCTTAGTGTTGTCTACACTGACTGGCAGCTGCTCTCCAGGTTTTAGGCAAGGAGTCTTTCCCACCCCCATTGCGGTTGTTAACGGAGAAATCTGAGGGCTCCCTTGGACAAAAAAAAAAACAAGGACACCAGCCAGGAATACCAGAGCAAAACAGCAGCCAGTAGGCTTGGTCTTTATTGAAGACTGTCGTGACAGGACTCCCACCTGCCACAAGGTGGAACAAGATGGAAGCCCTGAACAAAAGAAGACCCCAACTTTTATTAGCTACTAATCCCCATGCTACACCCCTAAGACTACATCACAACTACATCATGACTACATCACTGACACATCACAAAGAGGAGGGGTTCAGGGAGGAGTTGTGGTGGTAACCTGAGTGTCTTGTCACCTGTTTCTCCTTTCCCCCTCCCCATGATTTCATTCCTGAGGACAAAGAGGAGTTCACTGTTTCCTGCCCCCAGAGAGAAGGGCTGGTCACTGTCCTTTGTTTCAGTCCCTACTGAATCCACTTCCATATGCAGGTCCTTTGTGAGTGTAATGATCTTCTGTCTAGGACCATCAAGGTTGGCATGCCAACTGGGTAGGGCTCCCTGCGGACGTGTTGGTACGCTTGGGGGATTATGGCTGTGTTCTGTTAAGTCTTCCCCCTTTTGATAGTCCTTCCTTCATGGTGTAAAATAAAAGAGTGGAACGGTACAGATCCGATGCATGGCTGATTTGTGTGTGTGTGTGTGTGTGTGTGTGTGTGTGTGTGTGTGTCGTGTTTGTACAAACTGAATCATGATGGGGGGAGGGTTCCTGCAACAGGGTTTGAACCTGGGACATTCTGCATGCAGAGCAGATGTTCTGCCACTGATCCTTCCTGTAAAAACAGGAATATAGGAAACTGACTTAGATGGTCACTTTGCTGGTTCATCTTTCTCCCACACTGACTGGCAGCAGTTTCCAGGATTTCAGACTAGTGACGTTCCCAGGCTCACCTGGAAACACCACTGTGAGTTGTTGAACCTAGAACCTTCCACGTACAAAGCATAGATTCCTTTGTTGAGCTAGGCTGATGGCATCTGTCTGTCTTGGGAGACAGAGTGGGCTTTTGGGGATGAAGTCAACTGTTGGAGAGTTGCAGCGTCTGCTGTGGCTGTAGAGCAGGAGAGACATGTTTTGTTGCAGCTGGGGCACATGAAGGCGTCCAGTTTCACTGTTACAGATGCACCATGGCGTTTCTTCTCTGTGCGCTCCTCCCAGTGATCATTCGTCCTCTGGTCACTGCTATGAATGCACAATCTGTCTGTCTCCATGTACTATTGGCATCTTCCATTGGCAAGGGATTCCCACACGACAGGGTTGAGCTTACCTGGAAAAACCATTGTGGGTTGTTGAACCTGGAACCTTGGGTTGAGTCTTCATGTCACGTTTGCAGACATCTTTGTAACACATAGACTTGGTCTGGCAATGGGCCCAAGTTATGAGGACAACCAATTGTTCCATGTGGGACCTCTCCTGCTCTAAGGAACAGGGGAGCACTTGTTCAGCCAGGGAATTTGTGACCCACGATATCGTACCACGATAAAAAGCCACTCCTGGCTTCTGTCCCCCGCCAAGTGTTCTTTTTCAGCAACCTAATTTAAGATAAGATGAGGGATGCGAGTGGCGCTGTGGGTTAAACCACAGAGCCTAGGACTTGCTGATCAGAAGGTCGGCGGTTCGAATCCCCGCGACAGGGTGAGCTCCCATTGCTCAGTCCCTGCTCCTGCCAACCTAGCAGTTCGAAAGCACGTCAAAGTGCAAGTAGATAAATAGGTACTGCTCCGGTGGGAAGGTAAACGGCATTTCCATGCGCTGCTGTGGTTCACCAGAAGCGGCTTAGTCATGCTGGCCACATGACCTGGAAGCTGTACGCTGGCTCCCTCAGCCAATAAAGCGAGATGAGCGCCACAACCCCAGAGTTGTTCACGATTGGACCTAGAGGTCAGGGGTCCCTTTACCTTTACCTTTAATCTAAGATGGGTAGAACTTATTTTAGTTTTTGCTGTTGCTAGTTGCTATTTGCAAGTTGGAAACTCTTGCTGATCTGCTGCAAATCTCCCAGAGGTATATGAGTAGATCTAACTTCCGCCCAGCCTTGGAACCTAGAGTGGCCATGTTTGCTTTGTCGAGTGAGGGGCTCAATTTTGCCTCCTTTGGCAGGATTTGGCAGCTGCGGAACAAGCACGGAAACAAGCCGAGCAGGAGAAGGACGATCTGGCTGAAGAGCTGGCAAGTTCTGCTTCTGGGAGGTAAGTTCCTGGCCGGGATTCGGAGGCTACTAGAACCATGTGCCCCATTCCACTCACTGCTGCTATTTTGTCCAAACAAGAAGTATAAAAGGTGCCTTACACAGTACCCTCTCCAAAGATGACAATGGTGATGATTATTATTATTATACCCTGCTCATTTGACTGGGTTTTCTGTGGGCATGACCAAGCCAGCGTAGACTTGCTGGGAACATGCTGGGAATGTGGGCTTGGGAGAGCACATCTCTGTTTGTGTCTCTGTCCTGCCACGTGATGCTCTAAATCTTCCTGGCACAGCGCAGGTAGAAGGTGTTGAGGCATCGCTGCTGGCGGGTATAAGTTGCCCATGACTCACTTCCATAAAGCAGCAAGCTCAACACACAAGACCTTCATCTTGGTATTGGACGTTAGCATCGTATTCTCCCAGACCCTTTTGGAGAGGCCAGCTATTGCCAGAAACGCCTTGCCAATATGCTTGTTTACAGTTCACAAATATACAGTGGTACCTCGGGTTACAGATGCTTCAGGCTACAGACTCCGCTAACCCAAAAATAGTACCTCAGGTTAAGAACTTTGCTTCAGGATGAGAACAGAAATCGTGCTCCTGCGGCGCGGCGGCAGCAGGAGGCCCCATTAGCTAAAGTGGTGTTTCAGGTGAAGAACAGTTTCAGGTTAAGAATGGACCTCCAGAACGAATTAAGTTCTTAACCAGAGGTACCACTGTACTGTGATAAATACAACAACAGCTTTGGCCCTGATTCAATCCACAAGCAGTGATGGAGGAAGGGGGGCAGGCCACCCCGGGTGTCATATCTGAGGGGGTGACAAGGCACCCCGCGGGGGGTTCACCCCGCCACCCCTGGGCGTGGCGGCTTGAGCTGCTGCCATCGCGCCACGTGTGGAGCATCCTTCGTTCGCGGCTGCAGCGGCAGCGGCGGGATCCCACTGCCGTCCATACGGTGCTTGAGTGGGTGCCTGAACGTGCTTCACTACATACTGTGCATGCACCGGGTGCTGGTTAGCCTTCCTTCGCCCCTGTCCACAAGTGACAGCACAGAACCTCAGGGGGGATTTCAATTCAGCCAATTCCCTTTGCAATCTCCCTTTGCAATCCAATAATAATAAAAAAAATAATAATATTAATAATAATAATATTTTATTTATATCCCGCCCTCCCCAGCCGAAGCCAGGCTCAGAGTGGCTAACAACAGTAAAAATAACACAGTTTACATAAAATCACAATCAATTAATTGAAATGCATTCTAAAATCAATTCCTTCTAAAATCAATTCAAAATCAAATTGATGGCAACCATTGGGCTAGAGTTCTGTGAAGATTGCCAGAGGAGGGAATCAGGCTGTGCCCTGGCCAAAGGCCTGGAGGAACAGCTCTGTCTTGCAGGCCCTGCAGATAGATGTTACGTCCCGCAGGGCCCTAGTCTCTTGTGACAGAGCGTTCCACCAGATCGGGGCTACGGCCGAAAAAGCCCTGGCTCTGGTTGAGGCCAGCCTAACCTCCCTGTGGCCCGGGACCTCCAAGATGTTTTTATTTGAAGACCGTAAGGTCCTCCGTGGGACATACCACGGAGGTCCCGTAGGTATGAGGGAGGGGAATCAAACCCGGTTCCCCAGATTACGAGACTACCGCTCTTAACCACTACACCACACTGGCTCTCACATTCACTGGGTGAATGTGAACCCGCGGTGAGGACCCCATAAGGAGTCTCACTGTGACATTCTGCACCCGCTGGACTTTCTGGGTCAGTCTCAAGGGCAGCCCCACGTAGAGTGAGTTACAGGCTTCCCTTTGGAAGTTCCAGCTGAAACAGAGGAATCTGTGTTACACGCAGTCAGACCTTTGGTCCATCTCACTCAGTGTCACCTACACTGAATGGCAGCAGCTCTCCAGGTTTTCAGGCAGGATACCCCACCAGTAGATGCCTTTGGGGGGGGGGACCTAGGATCTTCTGTCTCCAAAGCAGGAGGGTCATAGCGAGGCTCAGAGGAAGAAATGAACGATGCAACAAATAAAAATGCATGTGCAGAACATTCCTAACCATGTCTACTCACTGGGATTTACTCCCAGGTAAAGAAGGTTACGATTAGAGCTGAAATGAAGCAGGCCTTTTGCTAGATCCATAAAGGCTGAGGGCTGGGCTTCAGCCAGCTCACCAAGTGCTTGCTCCCTTTGCAAAAAAAAAACAAAACCAAGCAGGTCCTCCTCTGGCTCATCTCTGGAGCTGAACTGACCTCTGCTGGTCTCTGGAAGTATTAAAGGAATCCCAGCCCCACGACCAACACCTAGGCAAGTCTTCTTTTCAATCCACTTTGCAGCCCAGGTTTTTAAGCAGAGGTTGAGTCATGCATCTGTCTTGAAAGCTTCAGTTGAGATTCCTGCATTGCAGGGGGCTGGACTGGATGACCCTTGGGGTCCCTTTACAATTCTACGATTCATCCTGTTCCCATAGAAACCTAGGAAGTCAGGCCAGTGGTCCACCCTCCTGAGTGTTGTCTATAGTGACCAGCAGTGGTTATCTGTGGTTTCTGCCAGAGGTCTCTAACCTGGATTTGCCACTGGGGAATGAACCTGGGACTCTCTGCATACAGAACAGGTCTCCACTGCTGAGCTATAGCCCATCCCCTTTTAAGCCCGACTGGGCTCAATGGGGCTTGGACTACTGCAATGCACTCTACGTGGGGCTACCTTTGAAGGTGACTCGGAAACTACAACTAATCCAGAATGTGGCAGCTAGACTGGAGACTGGGAGTGGCCACCGGGACCACATAACACCAGTCTTGAAAGACCTACATTGGCTCCCAGTATGTTTCCGAGCACAAGTCAAAGTGTTGGCACTGACCTTGAAAGCCCTAAATGGCCTCGGCCCAGTATACCTGAAGGAGCGTTTCCACCCCCATCGTTCTGCCCGGACACTGAGGTCCAGCTCCAGGGGCCTTCTGGCAGTTCCCTCACTGCAAGAAATGAGGTTACAGGGAACCAGGCCAGAGGGCCTTCTTGGTAGTGGCACCTGCCCTGTGGAACGCCCTCCCACCAGATGTCAAGGCAATAAACAACTATTTTACTTTTAAAAGACAACTGAAGACGGCCCCGTTTAGGGAAGTTTTTAATGCCTGATGCTGTATTGTTTTTAATATTCAGTTGGAAGCCGCCCAGAGTGGCTGGGGAAACCCAGCCAGATGGGCGGGGTATAAATAATAAATTATTATTATTATTATTATTATTTGGAAGGCAGGGGTGCCAACTTGAATTAAATATTGGGTGGGGGTAAGCAGTGCCCTGCAAAATCAATAGTAATCACACACACCATTTGAATGGCAATGCCTATCAACTTGGGGGGGTATGTGGCCCCCTCAATATTTTAAGGGGGGGGAGAAGGGACCTTGGCCCCTTGGAGTTGGCTCCTATAAGTGGAAGGGGAGAATGGGGGGAGGGGGAATCCCATCCAAAGAGGCTGGAGCAAGACTGAAACCAGCGGGTGGGGAGGACTAGGGGTGTACTGGATTACATATATCCTGGCTCTCCCCTCCCCTAATTTTCCATCATGCCTTCATTTCGGAGCACTGTGGCTAGAGAATGAACTGTGACT